TACCACCGAAGCGAGACCATGAACATGCGATAGTATTGAAAGAGGGCAACAATCCGGTGAGTGTGAGGCCCTACCAGTGCCCGCAATTTCAGAAGGACGAAATCGAAAGGTTGATAAGGGAAATGCTCAAAGCTGGGATAATCAAACCCTCCATTAGTCCCTTCTCAAGTCCGGTATTGTTGGTGAAGAAAAAGGATGGCTCATGGTGTTTCTGCATCGGCTACCGGGCCTTGAATCGGGAGACTATCCCGGTCAAGTACCCCATTCCCATTATTGACGAGCTGCAGGACGAACTTCATGGGGTTGTTGTGTTCTCAAAACTTGACCTTTAGGTTACCACCAAATTTTGGTAAGGGAAGAGGATACCCACAAGACCGCCTTCCGCACCCATGAAGGCCATTACGAGTTCTTAGTGATTACCTTCGAGCTCACTAACGCCCCCGCTACCTTCTAAGAACTCATGAACGAAGTATTCCGCCCCTATTTGTGAAGGTTCGTGTTTGTTCGTCGACAACATCTTGATCTATAGTCCCGACAAGGAGAGTCACATAGAACACATGAGGATAGTGCTTTCCAAGGATAGAACATAGCTTGGTTGTGAATTTTAAGAAGTGTGAATTTGGGCAGTCACAAGTAGCTTACTTGGGTCATGTGGTGTCCCAGAAGGAGTGGCCGTTGACATGGAAAAAGTAATGGCCGACACCCAAAAGTCTAAGGGAGTTAAGGGGATTTTTGGGGTTAACCGGTTATTACCGAAAGTTCATTAAGGGATATGCTCAAATAGCTAAATAGGATAACTTTGGGTGGACATTGGAGGCCACGAATGCATTCGAGAAACTGAAGACAACCATGGTGTCAGCAGGTCATGCGATTTCCGTAAACGGTTTGTGGTCGAAGTTGATGCCTCGGGATATGGATTAGGAGTTGTGCTAATGCAAGACTCTCGGCCCCAGCAAATTACTCGGCCTAAGGTCGCAAGCCAAGGCCACCTACGAGAAGGAGCTAATGGCGATTTGCCTTGCTAAAGTTAAATGGCGACACTACCTACTTGGTCGTCATTTTATTGTGAGGACAGACGAACAAAGTCTGAAGTACATCATGGAGCAGCGAGAAGTGGGGGTGATTACCAGAAATGGGTCCGCAAATTGTTAGGTTTTGATTTCGAAATTCAGTTGAAGCCGGGGGCAAGTAACAGAGTGGCGGATGCGCTGTCAAGAAGGGGAGGACCAGTCGGAGATCTCGCTGCTATGGTCATGGTGCAGGGGATTGATCGGGGAGAACTCGATAATGAGATTCAGTCCGATGACTTGCTGAGTAAAATCGCAGCAGTCGTGGCTAATGGGCACGGAAATTATGTGGGGTATGCAATGGAGGAAGATAGGCTGTTGTTTAAAGGGAGAGTTGCAATCCCCAAATTTTAGAAATTAATTCCCAAGTTGTTAAAGGAGTACCACGATAGCCCGATTGGAGGACATCAAGGCGAAAGCAAGACTTGTGAATTGCTTCGGAGTGGTATTAGCTTGGGATGAGAAAGGATATTGGGGATCATGTGAAGCAATGCTCAATCTGCCAGCAAGCTAAACATTCGCAATTACAATCGGTTGGGTTGCTTCAACCGTTGCCCATTCCCGAGGCAATATGGGAGGACATTTCAATGGACTTTATAGAAGGCCTACCAACTTATAAAGGCATGAACTCAATTGTGGTAGTGGTGGACAGGCTATCTAAATATGCGCACTTCATTGGGATGAAACATCCCTTTAGTGCGGCGACAGTGGCTGCAACATTCATGAAGGAGGTAGTGCGACTACATGAATTTCCTACCTCCATTGTCTCGGATCAGGATTTTTATGAGTATATTTTGGCGAGAGTTGTTCAAATTGCAAGGCATGGATCTCAAGCGGAGTACGGCATACCATCCTCAAACCGACGGCCAAACGGAGGTCGTGAACAAAACCTTGGAAACTTATTTGCGATGCTTTGTGAATGGGAGGCCTAAGTCATGGAGAACGTGGCTGCATTGGGCAGAGTATGCGTACAACATGGCATACCATGCTTCAACCGGATTCACTCCTTTTAGGGTGGTCTATGAAAGAGAACCCCCTAGGTTGATCAAGGTTGGCAAGGGTCAAACCCCGGTGGATAGTTTGGATGAGTGGCTGCAAGAAAGAGATTAGGTGCTTGAAGATTTACACATGAACTTGGTTCGAGCCCAGCATAGAATGAAGAGGAATGTTGATATGCGAAGGAGAGAGGAAGAGTTTCAGCTTGGGGACTTCGTCTATTTGAAGCTCCATTCATATAGGCAAAGGTCTCTTGCTAAGAGGCCCAATGAGAAGTTGTCTCCCCGCTTCTATGGCCCATTTAAGATAATCCAACGCATCGGGCAAGTGGCGTACAGATTGGAGCTGCCTGACTCTTGTCGTGTCCACCCTGTGTTCCACGTATCGCAACTCAAGAGAGCGTTGGGCAATCAGGTCGCTAACCCGACTGTACCCACCCAACTGACCGACAAATTGGAGCTCCTGGTGGAGCCAGAATTGGTGTTAGATGTGAGGGACTCTAAGAGTATACCAAAGGTGTTGGAAGTGCTAATTAAGTGGCAAGGACTACCCACACTTGAAGCTACTTGGGAAGAGGCATCTGTGATTGTTGAGCGATTTCCATCCTTTCACCTTGAGGACAAGGTGGCGCTTCTAGGGGGAGGGGATGCAAGGAATGCTGGTGGCTGCAAGCATGACAAGCAGAAGGCCGTTATCACATATGCAAGGAGAAGGAAGAAAGGACATGCTATGCAAGAGGAACGGGTAGTGGAGCAGCACCCCATTCAGGAGAAACCAAAAATCTGATCTGCAGGGCTGCTTGCATACCAAATTGCGACAGCTGTGACTTTCTTAATTTTGTCTTATCTTCTCTAGGACTGATGATGTACATATAAAAAGGGGGGATCAGGAATTGCTTAGGTAGCTTGAGTATTGTGGTGATCTAGGTCTAGAGAGTGGTGTCCTCAAGACACTAAGGAGATTGGTGGCCTCAAGCCTCCACTGTAAGGAAGTAGTCATCTTTATTGAACGAAAAGCTACCTGATTTCCCTCAATTCTCTCTTTCATCTGCAATCTCGATTATAATAGCTGATAATATTAACTAGTTCGTTACATGGATCTTCTTACAATCATCTCAAAAAATATAACAATTGTATCTAATTTTTTTTTTATTTTTTATTTTTTATAATTTTTACTCATCGAGAATCAAAGATTTTAATGGTTAAAGTTATGTGTTGGTAAATGTGATATTTGAAACAATTCAAGTAAATTAAAAAAAAAATGAATGGAGGAAGTAGGACTTATGTAATACTGAAGTACTTAATTTCAACTTTTGATTTGAGCTTATCTATTAAACTAAGTTATAAGTTTTGTTCATACTTAGTTTATTCATTATCAAACTTAATAAACTAGTCTTAATATGCTTATAATGTGTGCTTCCAACCTAACATTATATAAGAAATTGATATTATATCATATTTATTATACAATTGGATAAATTTTATAGATAGTGCACTGTAACAACCTATTTACTATATGATCCTCTAACTTGCGGATGACAGGTGGATTAAATGTGGATGTAGAATGAGTCGGGTGGCAGATGGAGGTGGTTTGAGCTCTAATCTATCCAACTTGATCCTTGCCACCCCTAGGTATTTAAGAGTAGGTTGTTCAAATTGCAATTTATTCCCGAAAGCAACTATCAGAATATTAGTATATTACTACTTTTAGATCCTTTTTTTTTTTTTTTTTCTAATTTTTTTAATTTTTTTTTTTTGAGAAGTTCTCAAAAGATTTCCCACCCTTTAAATTACCCATTTTAGTTAGGCAGAGAAGCATTGTCACGTGCATAAGATAAATGCAGCGGAGATGCATATGTTGCGATGGATATGTGATCATACAAAGAAATGATCAATTGTGGAATGAGATAATTAGGAAAAAGAGTAGGGATTGCATCCATTGAATATGAGATGAGGGAGAATCACCTAAAGTGGTTTGGCCATGTAAAAAGGAGACGATTGAAGCTTAAAGAGTGGCCTTGGGATCGTGAGGGGTAGGGAAAGACCTTGGAAGGGGGTGATTGACAGTAATGTGAGTGCTTTGGGGATTGAGGAAAATATGATGCTGGATAGCTGAGTGGAGGGAGAATATTCATGTTAATATATATACTTAATTTGTGTTTCTAAACTCTATTTATTTCCTTCACCAATGTTTTCTTAAAACTTTTATATTTTTACTCGCATGTTTTTCCTCTCCTTTTTATCCCCTTACTACTCTTTTGAAACTCTTGTAAATTTTACTTGTACACTCTTTCTATTTTTCACTTTTCACACTTTTTTTTCCCTAACTTTTATTCATTTGATTTTTTTGCTATGTTCATTTCCCTTTCCGAATGGTTCCTTATGACGATTCATGTTAGTCGACCCCAAATCATTTTGGGACTAAGGTTTTGTTGTTGTTGTATTTATTTAGATAACCTAATTGACCAAATTGACCTAATCTGAATTTGGGTATGAGAGACCTTAATCAACTCGACTCGTATCTGAATGACTTGATTGCCATGCAACCTTAAATAGGTGCACCATGCATCACGCACCACGCACTACAAACTACACTCTTAGGTGCAATGCATGACTTAAATAGTTAGAGTCTTCGTCATCATTTATGTCATGTCTAGCATTTAGCAATGCATTTTGTGCATCCAAGCCACAGTTAGTGTAATTGATCCCAATTGAATATAATTGTTTTTCTAATGAAAATTGAAGTCACTTTGCAGGACCATTGATTTTCAATACTTCAGCTTGCAATTGGCACTCGAAAGTACCAACATATCAGTTAAATCCGTTTTCTTGGACAAAGGTACAAGAATAATTTTCTATAGTTAATAATCTTTATATTTTTTCATGTCAAAATAGCTCATTTTTCTCAGAATAAGATCTAGTAGCTCTAATGAAGGCAATGGCAATGAAAGTTCATCTAGAATTGGCAGACAACATAATATTTGTGGATTCACCTGTTGGTGCGGGATTCTCTTATGCAACAAATCCAAAAGGTTACTACTCTGATGATTTTTTGTCATCAAGACATGTACATCAATTTTTGAGAAAGGTAAGGAAAAACTGAAAGTATCCACTTGTTTAACTGAAAGTTTGAATGACACAGACTCTCAATCGAAGAGCTATTGCCTGTTTGCCAAATGCATTTTCCTTGCCCTATAAAATACAAAGTAGAAAGTATTGTAGGCAGCCAGTTATGTTTAATACAGCATCACTAAGCTGGTGAATCTGGATTTATACAAGTACATGTGACAAAGTATTGTTGTGCGTCATTCACTCCAACAGTCTCATACTAAATGCTTACTTCAGGAATTTTCAAACTAATAATTCACTTACTAATTTTTCAAGATTAGATCTTTTTTAGATTTTTATCATTAGAGGCACTTAGGAAACTTTCTAGTGGGAAAAATTGGGAAATAATTGGTATAGGAAATAGTATCAAAAATAGCATAAATAGACAGAATGTGAATACAGAACGGCATAGAGCCATAGAGCTATCCTTAATTTCTTGTTATGATGCTCTTTCGCAAATCATAAAAAAAAAAAACATCAAAAGGCCAATTTGTAGTCTGCCAGTAAAAGGACAGAAGCATAAGAAAGGGCCAAGCTTTTGAGACTGCTCCATTCAGATAAACCGATGCACATAAGTGGTTTCCCTTGTTTTTTTCAATTACATGCTCACTGAACAGGTCAATAGTTGATTCCTTTTCACCAAAAATATTGATTGGAGCCTTTTATAGTTGCATGTCAGTTCTTATAAGAGAATCACACTTGGGAGTTGGGATAGCATTTCAGCTCGTTCAATATTCAGCTGTAATCAAATTTTCAGCTTGCAAAGTTGTTTGTTTTCTGTAGTTTTGGCAGACAAGAATTTCTCAACAAATATTCTCTCTTTCTATTCTTGTTTCTGCTTCACTCCTACAACACGGTTACCAAATTAGGTAAGATCCGATCAAAACTTTCTTTCCTTTTAAGTTTTGAATATAATATGGTCCATGCTAGAGCTATAGGTATGTTAAATAATATCAATCTCCTTAAGTTTATTTAGTATAACTTCAATATAGGGATAGGTATCCTTATTTGATTGGAGAGGAAGTCTTGTTTCTTTAGACAACTCTAAGGCATGCATTATATATATATATTGATTGTTTGATAAATAACTTTATGTTATTATTTTGCAAACTTGTCAGTTTTTTTAACTATTCGAAGACAGGAGTATTTGGCTACAAATACTGTTAAAATTAACCAGTATGTATTACTTGTTCTTGTTTAATCTCTTTTATTTGTCTTTTTTTGCATATAGTGGCTAGTGGATCATGATGGATTCATTAGTAATTCGCTTTATGTTTCCGGTGAATCCTATTGCGGCATGACTGTCCCAATTATTGTTCAAGAGATTTTAAATGGTAACTATCAAATTTGGTAAAGATTCTTTGTTTTTTTACCCTAATACTGTTATATTGTAGAGTAAAAAATTCCACTTTTATTTTAGGAACTCAAATACCCTAGCTAGTTTCTTCATATAGCCGAAATAAAATAATAGATAAAATTTGTCATTTAGTGCAGCCATTATTATGATAAGATTATGCCATCAAACATTAAGAGGAATTGGTGTAGCAGTAACTTTATGGAGCTAATGAAATCAGTCTAACAGTGGGGTTCAAGAACAAAAGCTGAAATAGCATAGAAAGACCAAAGAAGTGAATAAGAATATAAATTCTAGAGGGAAAGAGAGAAAGGTTGATGTTATATCATTTGATGATATGAAAAGGGCAGAATATAACTATTTATAAAACTTCCATTAGGAATCTCAGCATTTTGTGTTTTTGAGTTCATTTTTTGTACAGGAAGAAGAAATAGTTCTGAATTTTGAGTAAAGAGACGGATAGTTTTAGTTTCAGTGATGAACATTATATTGAAGGCTTGTTAACTTTGATATAAGACAAACTCTTTTCTACCAAAATAGGCCTGAATGTCCTCACAAAAACCTCACAAATTATTCTTGAAGACTTGACAAACTCATAATTTTGCACAAACTTTCACGAAGGTATGAATCTGGCAGACTAAGCTTTTGTTGCAGCATAAATGACTTCAAGTTGTTCATGAAACCAGCTGAATAAACCTTAATAATTTCAGATTTGTAAAATTTGTTAAGCTCATCAACAATATATGCAGAGTATTGCCCAGTGTCATCCTTAAATTTTGAATACAATTCAATCATTAAGTGAGCTTATCAACCCAACTTTTAGCCTTGTCAAACATGTGTTGTGAAGCTAATTCTAATCTTTCGTCTTCTGGAATGCCAGTAGGTGTATAGCAATTTCAAATTCTCCAAGAGTGTCACAAATTCCAATATACTTGCTTCGTACTTTATCCAGCTTGTAGAATTTGAACCAAATACCTTAAGAAATTCAGGCTTAGGTACATACCAAAAAGTCCGGTTGGATTGGTCTCTAAATCAGTGTAACTTATTTACTAGAATTCATCTTGAACCTTCTTTTTCCTTTATCCTTCCAAACATCTCCTCAATAAATGGTATATTTTGCAAGAAGAGTTCTTCTATTATGTCAACAACATTAGTTTCATGCTCAATAGTTGCTTTACAAGTTAAACCCAAATTAATGTATGAGATGAAGTTTAGGACCGACATTCTAGATGTTTCTTTATCATTTGATAATATGATAAATCTTCATTGGGTTAAATCAAGCCTTATGTCGAAATATAGTCTAACTACATATAGGCACTTGTAGGAATAAAACAAATTGGTTTTGGGATATAACTTCTTTGTGAGTGGATCTAAATATCTTAATTGAACACTTTTTCAGTGAATCTGTGTATGTTTTGACTTTCAAAAAAGTAGTAGAGCGTGTTATAAAAAGCCAACTTGGTGTGGTTGTGCTACATAACATCAAATTTAAACATTACACTCAACTTGAATTAAGAAATCTAACAACTTTCCTTGTCATCAGGATATTGTTTCTTTGAGGCCAAGGTATGATTAGAATTTAGTGCCTCTATTAAGAACAAGATTTGAATGTATTTTGATGATAGCTATAAGACAAGTCATTATCATCATGCCTTAAAAGTTTTATATTGTTTAGTTGTATTAATATGAGCTGGTTGTTTCTATGCAGAATCTTGATCCAGTGTATACTAACCATATCTTACAACCTCGTTGCATTTCCAATCAAACGTGTCAGGTATTTTCAAAGCATGACTGTTATATATATTTTCTTTTTCTTTAATAGTCTAAAATATTTCCCATCCAAAAATATTTTGGACCCCTAACATAATTAGGTGAAAATCATATGTAACGCTATAGCAATCAATCTTCTTATGTTGATATAGCCAAGGAAATATTATGCAACTTTCCTTTAGAATCAGATTAGTGGGATACTATTACAATGATCCTTAGCTTCTCTGTATAACTCTTTCCCCAATTTTTTCTCTATATAATTCTTTCAAAGCTTTTCTCTCTAAACTTTTACACTTTTTTGTGATTTTTTTGGATACTATTACAATGATCCATATCTTGTACATATATGCTTTTGTTTTTCCTAAATTAGTGGGTGAATTTAAGTAAATAACCGAGCACCCCATATTATTAGCTTTCCTCCAATTCATCGTAAATCTTACAAAGGATGATACTAATCATATAATTTTCTTTTACTAAAAATAAAGAATGGTCTTCATTCCTCCAACAATCTCCTAATTGAATATTGATTAATCTATCGTCACACCTTACTCCATGCAGCACAACTTTCTCGAAACTAAAGTTGCACGCACACAACTTCAGTTTGTCAATAGTCGCCGTCTTTGTTAACATATCCGCCGTATTTTTAGTTCCTCGAAATTTTCTCCACCTTTAATACTTCATCTTCTAATAGAGATCTTATGAAATGATATCGAAGTTCGATATGCTTTGGTTCTAGAATGAAATGTTGATTTCCTTGCCAAATGTATTGCGCTTTGACTATCACTGTATAAAACATTATTTTCGTGCCTGAATCCCAACTCTTTATTAGCTTCAGTTACCGCCACATAGTGGATAGAGCAACAATCTTCCATAATTGCGACATTTAATTGATTGTTGTATTTCCAACCATGAATATCCAACCATGAATATATGACACGTGGTGCTTTTATGCCGATTACAAGTCCAAAGTCACCTTTTTTTAAAATACAAACACATCTCTATCATAGATACCTCAAAATCAACTTCACTGCTTCAGGGAACTTTTCCTAAACTTGCGAACAACTCCCACTGCATGTTTAATATCTGGTCTTGTACACACCATTGCGTACATTAAACTTCCGATGCCCGAGGCATAATTTTAGCCATATAATCTTTGTCTTCCTCCTCCGAGGAGATTAACCCTTGGATAATTGAAGTGACTTGCGGCATCACTAATATTAAATCTCTGTCAAACACGTGTGATGTATTTGATTGAGATTATTTCGAAGTACTTTTATGTTTATCTCTTGTAATTTGCATTTCAAGAATCTTCTTTGTTGAACCCAAGTCCTTCATGTCAAACTCCTTTGACAATTGTTGCTTTAACCTTATGTCATCCATATTCGAATCTACTGCTAACATATGACCGACATAAAGTATTAAAGTGTCATCAAGAAATATACTCTTGATGTAGCCATTGCACTTTTGGAAATCTTCCTTGGTCATAGCTATCAAACTTTTTGTACCACTGTCTCGGGGCTTATTTTAGGCCATACAAAACACATCATATTTTCTTTCCCATTTTCTATGAAACCCTGTAGTTGATGCATGTATATCTCTTCATCCAAATCTCCATGAAGAAATGACATTTAATTGCTTAAGATGAAGATCTCATTGTAGTTAAGTCCTTTCTGTTGGAATCCTTTAACTACTAATTGAGCTTTTGTGATAAATTCATGCTTGTTGGACTATCACACACACCATTAACACAAAATACAGAGGCAAATCTTTGATTGAAAATATAAAAGTGCAGGGATGTGTACAAGCTAGAAACTTTAGGATGCTGATCTCTATTAGCGACTTCAGGTCACAACTCTCAAATAGTGACTTTGAGGTCACAACTCTTAAAAGGATTCATTCCAAACTTTTTCCTTCCCTTTTCTTTCCCCTCCCTCTCTATTTATACTAAGGACTTGTAGAGCATAGAAATACCTTCCTCGACCTAGTATAGTAATTACTAGAATACCCATACTACCCCTTCTTAGGTTAGTCTATTACAAGCTTGTCCTCAAGGTGGTTTAAAATCAGCACTTAGTATCTAGCCTCGACAAAGACAGTCACTCTCATCCTCGATGCCCGACTTCCACTACCTATCAAGCTTCTCAGTGGTGAGTTCTCTTAATGTCTCTTATGAAGAAACAAGTGTGAGATGATCTTGGGAGTTATTAGTTGACCCCGAGTGAGATTGCGTTGTGTTGTAGCCTTGTGAGTTACGTGTCGAATAGTAGTAAGTGGACTTTGGTTGCTGACAGTAACTAATGCTAAGTTCTCGGCCTTGGCATTGCAACAAATGCCTTTTCCGATGCCTCATTGGTAAGGCCTCTTGCTTCCCCTGCCGACAAGGCTATGATGAAGTGTTCTTGGAGGTTGCTGGGAACTATTAAGGAGTATAATTTCAGGTCGTGAGAGATGGAATTTTGTAAGTAAGTGTGAATTGGAGGGATTTGGTTTTGTGAATAAATGGCATGTTAGCTTATGAAAGTCAATGTGGTGAATTTTTTGAGTTGAATGCATGAATTTTGATAAGCTTTGTGTTGAATTTGTTGTTGTGAATTGAAGTAGTCAAGTCCACTTTAATAGTTGTTGTGGTTTGCGACTCTTGGGTCGTTTGTTGTGTAGGTGGTGGACTTAGAGCCCTTACGTGCTTTGTGTGGTGATCATTGTTGTTGTGGTGTTTTTGTATGGCTTGTGAACCTAAAGACCGACCATGTCTAGGAGAAACCGACTAAGAAACACATCATCCGTTAGGTTTAGAAACAAAACCACCACCCCCTGCCCTTGATCCACCATGGGAATTGTTTTCAATGATATAAATTTCTCAAACAATTTCCTTAGGAATAGTAGGAGAAGGATTAGGCCAACAAAATTCTATAACCATGAGGTTGCCGATTCTCTAGGGGTAGAGGAAGATGTAAGAATGCTATTTAACCTCATTAACCTAGGTTCATGGTTAGAATTGCATGCCCTAACGTACAAAAGGCTTACACTCGAGTTCCTCTCCACTCTCTTCGTACACCCACTAGAACCTCCCGTTACATTACCTTCTAACTCTTGAATGCCCACCATCAAATGAATATAAAAAGGTGAATGAGGCATTTGGGTGGCTAACGAATGGCATAATCAGACCTAAGAGTAGGCAGCCTGTAATTATAATGCGGGAAGTTTTTGGAGAAATTTTGGCTTTTTCAATACAATCCTAGGTCCGACAAGGCATTTCAACAACAATAACAGCAACAATTTCAACAACAACAATTCCTAACACAACATGAGTTCAACAAGGGTACCAAGAGGGGTACCAAGGCCAAGAAATGGGTGAAGACAACCCATACCTATCATTCGAGCGGCAAATCGCCAATTTAAATGCGGGTTTTAATCGACTCGGCACCGAAATCAAATGAAGAAATGAGGATCTCCTTCACACAAATGAGGTCAAGTTTCGAGAATATGAGAACAGAATTCGGCAATTTTTGGAATGTTTACACACATCTCCCGGGAGCTTAAGCTCCCAAGGTGGCCCGAACCAATGAGTTAGTTTCCTCCTCCCCATTCTCTTAGTGACTCTGTCATCACTCTTTTGTTTCTCTTTTTTTCTGAACTTCAACAACCTCATTCTCAAAATCATCCTCACTTCTCACCACAACTCCCTTATCTCTCTTTTGTGGCTCTTCTTCACTCATGACCGGACCCTCATACCCTCTTCCCGATCTCAAAGTAATAGCCTTAGCATGCTCCTTTGGGTTCACTATCGTTGAGCTTGAAAAGTGACCACTAGGATTGGAGGATGAACTTTCAACTTGTTCTGCAATTTGCTCTGAATTATCTTATTGTGCGGCTTGAAGTTGTTGGGTGTTTGCACTCATATCCGCATTGTTCCTCACTTGATGTGTCATGAAGGTCTCAAGAACGGATACAAAGCTAGTCTTTTGAGGAGGTGGAGGAGGAGGAGTCAGTTGCTTATATTGTGGTTTTTGTTGGTTTTGATCTCTTTGGTTAGGATGGCGATATGGAGCTCGTTGGTTTTGAGGAGGGGGTTAATTGTAGTGGTTTTGAGGTTTGTTTTGGTTTTGGTTGTAGTTATTTTGTGGGGGGCCTTGGTTGTATTGCTTCCATCCCATGTTTTGTTAAGGTTTCCGGTTTTAATTGTAGGGTTGGGAGTATTGCTCATTTCATTGTCCAAGTGTTGTTGCTTGCTCTCGGGTTGTTGAATTACAATAGAAGGACAAGTGATCGTTTCCTCCACAAGTCTCACAAGACATGACTTGTGAAGAGGAGCTTACAGTTGTGAGGGTTGCTTGGTTTAGCTTGTGAGCTAGCTTATCGAACTTTGATGCAATAAGATCTATTGCACTAAGATCATGAATACCACCCTTCTTTGCTTGAGGTTGCCTTCGATCACCTCCATATGCATAATGCTTGTCCACTTCTTCAATTATTTTATAAGCATCGTCCACTGATAGCTTTTTAAGGCTACCACCGGCCTCAGAACCAAGGTTAGCCCTTGAAATAGGAGTAAGACCGTCATAGAAGCTTTGTACAATGATCCATGATGTAAAACCGTGGTGGGGGCATTTCCTTGTGTAATCCTTGAAACGCTCCCAAGCTTATTAAAATTGGTGATTTTTCTTCTCAATTTGGCGGTCTTTTCCGGAGGACAATACTTTCCAAGGAAAGCTCTAGTCACTTCGTCCCAAGCTGCTTTATTACGGAGGGAGAATTGGAACATGTGCATCCGAATAAACTCTTCCAAATGTTGTTTTTCTTCGTAGTACACAACTCAAGAAAGTTGTCCAAATGAGCAAAAGGACACTCATGAGAACTACCCCCAAATTAATCGCTTTGAATCATACAGATTAGGCGAAAGCTCGAAGTTGTTTGCATTTGTGGTGGGGAGGAGTATGCCACTCCGAAGCTGGAAGGCGTTAGGGTGGTCATAGTCTCATAACAAAGGTGGGGAAGGATTCTCTC